CAGACAGTAAACAATCTCTTTTAGCTTTAAGCAGAGTTATTATAACGTCTGTAGTAATGAATTCTCACAAAGCACTGGAGGAGGCCGCGCAATACAATCGTGTCAGAATCCAGTGGATTAAAGAGCATTCTAGCTCCAAGGGTAACAACCACGCGGCAGGGTAGCCAAACGTGCTGCCGGTAGAGCGCCCTGTTAAACACATCTTGTGTGATTACCACTCTCTGACCGACCTCAGAACAGGACGTGACATCAAGAATGCACCTCTAGGAGCCGTCCTAGCCTTTGGCAAATCCTTAGGCTAGTTGATGTGATCAGAGTGTGTAATGGGAGGATGCACAAGGGGCCCAATGGGGCCAAAATGTGGAGTGCGGTTTCGCATGCACTCCCCAATCCATACATACATACATGCATGATCGTGTCCCTTATTTCCAGCATGTCCTTTCCACCACTTTATCGTGACGTTGTTATAAACGTTAGCCTCTTCAAGTGATTAGCAACAGGACTTCGCTATCTCCTCATGCAGAAAATTTTTTTTGCAGTCTGAGTTCAGCGCATCTTATGTGTTTTTGGTAATTTTTGTAGTTGTAAGGGAAAAAAAGAGAAGAAGGAGAAATTTATTCTTTTTTTTTATTGTTCTGGTCACTTTCCTGCTGTAAACGACCTTATTATTGATGGTAACTTTGACGTTTTTGCTATTTCTGAGACATGGGTTTATACAGATACTGATTTCACCGCATTCAATATACCTAATTATCGCTGTGTATTCATTGGCCGCACTAGACTAAACGTTAGGAGTAACCTTGGTGGAGGTGGCGGCGTCGGGCTGTACATTAAGACTAATTTAGATTTTAAAATTTTGTGCTAAGAAATAACTCAATGTTGTGAATGCCTATGGATTGAACTTGCTAACTGTATCAAGCTTGTCACAATTGGTGTCGTTTATAGGCCTCCTCGAAATGTATCATAATTTTTGAATTATTTTGAGGATATTTTGTCCGAGATTGCCCCAGGATCAGAGGCTCTTATTATATGATTTTAATGTTGATGGCTTGGAGGTGAATGGTACGTATGACCGTTTCTTTGGTCCTGCCTTGGCTCAGTTTCACTTGCATCAAATTATAGATTCGCCTACCCGTGCTACAACTACTTCATCGCCCCTCATTGCAGTTCCAACGTTTTAGCGCAGGTAACTGATACCTTATCCTTTTCCTTTACCTCTGAAGAGGAATTGCTTAGTATTAAAACTAATGCCGTAGGTGCCGACCAGATCAGCAGGAAAATGTTATTACTTTGCTGTCCAACTATTTTGCCATTTATCTGTCATATTTTTAACTTTTGTATTGAACACTCCGTTTTTCCTGATGATTGGATCTTAGGCCTATAAATATTTTGCCTATTCTCTCGAAGGTTTTTGAAAGAATAATTGCTACCAGACTGAGAGAGCACTTGGATGTGGGTCTTAGCACCGCGCTTGTACTACTTGATTTCTCTAAGACTTTAGATGTACTGCATCATGAAACTCACTTTTCAATTCTTCATTTCATTGGTCTATCAGGTGCAGCTATATGCTTATTTAGAAGCTACTTCTGCGACAGATTACAATTAGTTGATTTTAACGATAAATTGTCTAAACCAGGTAGCATCACATCGGAAGTGCCTCAGAGTTCCATTTTATCTTGATTACACTACGAATTTGTATAGCCGACTCTCGTTCTGTAATGTTAATATGTCTGCTGATGATATTACAGCATTTCTAAATCGGATGGGTTGGCTGCACGGTATAATATAAATAAAGATCTGAACGACCTAATCACGTTCGCGGTTAGGCACTGCCTTGTGATCAATCCTTCGAAGATGTCGGTTGTTGTTTTTGGGTGTGATGGTGTTCCTGATTGTTTCACTGTGGCTCCTGGTGTATGTATCAATGGTCAAATGCTAAATGTGGTAACTGACGCGCGAAACTTGGGCTTGGTTGTCGACTCTGAGTTGAGATTTAGTAAACATATAAGTAACTTGCTTCAGAGAGCGTACACAACATTGAAACCTTGGTTTGTGTGATACCTTGGTGCTATCTATATTTAAGTACGGCGATGTTGTTTAGGACTCGTGTATTGACTTCGTGTTTATTGCTAAAATTCAACGGGTGCAAAAAGTGTAGCTGGAGATTCTTCTTTCAGGAGCTTCTTTGATCCATCAGTGTAGATGGTCAGCGTTTTTACCGTGCTTAAGTTGCTCCGGGGTATCCTTTAAATGCCAAAATGTGGCCTGTTTAAGAAAGTAGGTGTGATGTAGTCTGTGCGAGCTTCAAGGAGGGGTTGTTTTCGAACAGCCTCACTCCACAGTTCACTTCGGAGATTTCTCATTTTTACAACGTGCTTATTATCCACTGATATCTAGGGCAGCACGTCTAGCATAGTCTCCAGCTCGATCGTGGGTGTCGATCTCATTGCGCTAGTGATTAACATTATAGGCATGTTTCAGTGCTGGGCACCAAACTATGGGTCTTATCACAGACGTGTAGAACGTATTGGCCTGAACAACTCTGTTTGCTAGCATTGTCTTTATCCAACCCGCGATGACCAGTGGCACTCTTCGAGATTTCAAAGCTGACAAGTCTTTCAAGTGTCTTTAAAAAAAAAGATAAAAGATTAATTTCGAAAGGTTTTAGGATCATTTGGATCCTTTTTTCCATTCTTCAGTATAAAGCTTACTGTAACCCTTCTACAGCTGATGGGGACATACTTAAAGGCTAAACAAGCTCTAAAAATCATCATCAAGTGTGTTTTTATATCTTCTTGACTCCATTGAAGAAGAACAGGAACGGTACTATCGGGTCCAGGTGTTTTGAAGGGTTCATCAAAACTGCAAACGACCCACTCTATCAACACGATCTGTACAACTGGCTGGCTATCTGCTAATCATGTTTGGTAGGAAAGTTATTTAGTTCCACTTGGTGTGGAAGTGTTGAAAAATCGTGCAGAGAACCTAGAAGATGAACATCGATTAGTAAGTGCAATGATTCTTCACCTCCTCACAAAGACCTCTCCAGGCTTGTCACTTCTTTTAACGTATGGTGTGTTGTAAACACAGTCCAGTCAGAATTCAGTCTAGTTTGTTTAACTTTATTAAAAGCCTTCCTGCAGGTGACCCTCAGTGAATGGAAATCGGGAGTCCACCATGCTGTTGCCCTTCCTTTCTCCCCCACTGTTCTCGCAGCACATGCACTGTGGAAAGCCTGAATCAGCTTGAGATCCTCTAATTTATCGGTATTCCCAGGAAGGGCGAAGATAAGAGCATGCCATCTTCTTTCTCCTCAGAATGTAGCAAACACCAGTTTGCAACCCGTTTTCCGGACATCCGCGAGCATGTTAATAGCTTTTGGTATCCACGCCGTTACGCCGTACTTCCTCCTTCCGAACTATATACAGCTTCGCTGCTTCCCATGGGGAAAGCGTGGGGACTGTGTATGCCAGTTCAAGGAGAATTCATTTTGATACGTTACGGTAAAAACTTCCCCTGAGAAGGAGTAGTTTCAAAAACAGGTGGTTAGCCATCCTTATTAAGCTCTTCTAGCAGGTTATTAATTAGACAGGGGCGTTAGTAATTACAAATAATTATACTTTCTTAAATATAAATGTAATATTATATTGCCGAAGAAGCCATGCTGCCGAGAATTGTCTAGAATTTATTATGGGTGCTAAAATTTTCCTTTCTTGTTTCTACCTTCCATCTTGGCTTGCTAAATCTTTTGCACCTAGCTATTATCAGTACCAAGACCTATAGATGTTTTGAGTGAAGAATATGTTATTACAGAAGCAGAAGAACAAATTTCCGAGTTATCGACCAGCGATGATGAATATTTGCCATCTTGAGAAGACGAACCTCATTTAGTAAATCAGTTAGAATTAAATGAATCTGAATTTGTCAAAATCTCAAGCAAAAATACTCCAGGCACACATATTTCTGTGTATCATAATCGCTAGAAAGAACTGTCAAAGAAGGTTTTTTATTTTGCAATAATGTAAATTTGTTGCCGTTATTAGTTTATATAACTATTGCCACCTATTGGTGATTTTTCCTACTAAATGACACAAAGGATTACCTATAATATAGGAAAACATAGTTAAAGTACATAAACCGCAATATTAAAACGTTTTGTTGAAATTTTATGAATTTCGGAGTAGCTATTAAATACATTAAGCTAGAAATCAAGATATTTTTAAAACGTGACAAGTACTAAGTTTCCAGTTTTGAAATAAAGATGGCTCTGGTTTCTTCAAATCAAGTATTATAATTTATAATTCAATATAATAATAATAATCTAGCTCACAATGTAAATGAGCGTTATCAATACAATAATGACAAATTCCTCTCTTAATTTTAGCCCAATTTGTTATTTTAATTGATTTTCATGGTACCATAACCTTACTTAAGACAGTTTTGATACAACAAAGTACAAAAGATTATATTAAAGCCCCTACAAAAAAAGCATTATTATTTAGGTTGTTATTAAACAATTTTCTTACCACCAGCTTCGATTTTATCAACAATATCGGTCGTTTTCATTGAATTTTCATCATTAATAAGTAGCAACTTCAACATAACCTGTCAGTCAATAACATAACCTATAAATACAAATCGGTACCAAAAATACAAAACAAATCGTTTTTAATTTAATACGAACTAACTTATTTTGAGTACAGATTTAAAATCTGTTTGCTCAAAATTATTATTGCTTAAAAATAAAGTTTAATAATTAAATAATTTAAAAAAAACTAGATGTATAATTGGTTGCATATGTATACATTAAATAAATAATTAAAAATTGATTTCTTAAGATATAAAGTATTAAAAACATTCCACGATGAAATCTAATTATTAGAAAATAATTTATAAACTATTAAATTGATATTAAAACATCATTTTTTAATAATAAAGTAATTTAAAGCTTTTTAAATCCGTTTTAAAATCGTTTTGTGGTTAGAATTGAAATGAAAAAGAAGTGGTAAGTTTATTTATTTAAATAAAAGTACCTCACAAAGTAGAGTAAAAAGTGTTTTATAACAATTTGCCAATTAGAAAAAGTAAAAATCCAGGTTTTGTTTGAAATGTACACAAGTTTGTTATAAATGAATAAATCGTAACTTCCTCTTATCTAGCTCATAATGTAAATGCGTTATCAATAAAATAATAAATTCCTGTCTTTAGTTTTGTCCAATTTGTTATTTTAATTGATTTTCATGATACCATAACCTCACTCCAGACAATTTCGATATGGAAAAGTAGAAAAGATTATGTTGAAGCCCCTACAAATAAAGTATTATTATTTAGATTGTTATTAAACTAAATTATTCGATTTTACCAACATATCGGGCATTTTCGTCATTAATAAATAGCAACAACATAACCTATAACGTCAAATTATTACAAAAAATAAAGAAAAATCGTTTTTAATTTAATACGAATAATGTTATTTTGGGTACAGATTTCTAACTTTTATGTATAAAAAAATTATTATTTAAAAATAAAGTTTAATAATTAAATAATTTAAAAAAAATGTGTATGATTGGTTGCATACGTTAACTTCTCAAGATACAAAGCATTAAAAAGATTTCATGGTAAAATCTAATTATTTATAAACAATTTAATTAATATTAAAACATCATGCCTCTCTTAATTTTCGCTTAATTTGTTATTTTAATTGATTTTAATGATACCATAACCTCACTCCAGATAGTTTCGATTCAGAAAAGTAGAAAAGATTATGTTGAAGCCCCTACAAATCAAGCATTATTATTTAGCTTGTTATAAAACATTTTTCTTACCACCGGCTTCGATTTTACCAACATATCGGGCATTTTCGTCATTAATAAATAGCAACAACATAACCTATAACGTCAAATTATTACAAAAAATAAAGAAAAATCGTTTTTAATTTAATACAAATAATGTTATTTTAGGTACAGATTTCTAACTTTTATGTATAAAAAAATTATTATTTAAAAATAAAGTTTAATAATTAAATAATTTAAAAAAAATGAGATGTATAATTGGTTGCATATGTTTATGATAAATATATAACTCAAAATCGACTTCTTAAGATAAAAAGCATTAAAAAGATTTCATGATAAAATCTAATTATTTATAAACAATTTAATTAATATTAAAACATCATCCCTCTCTTAATTTTCGCCCAATTTGTTATTTTAAATGATTTTGATGATACATAACCTCACTCCAGACAGGTTGGATACAGAAAAATAGAAAAGATTATGTTGAAGCGCCTACAAATAAAGCATTATTATTTAGCTTATTATAAAACATTTTTCTTACCACCGGCTTCGATTTTACCAACAATTTCGGTCATTTTCATTGAATTTTCGTCATTAATAAGGAGCAACAACATAACCTATAACATAACCTGTCAGTCAATAACATAATCTACAACTTCAATTCGTTACTAAAAATAAAGAAAAATTGTTTTTAATTTAATACGAATAATGTTATTTTGGGTACAGATTTCAAATCTTTTTGTATAAAAGAATTATTATTTAAAAATAAAGTTTAATAATTAAATAATTTAAAAAAAATGAGATGTATAATTGGTTGCATATGTTTACGATAAATATATAACTCAAAATCGACTTCTTAAGATAATAAGCATTAAAAAGATTTCATGATAAAATCTAATTATTTATAAACAACTTAATTAATATTAGAACATCATCCCTCACTTAATTTTCGCCCAATTTGTTATTTTAATTGATTTTGATGATACCATAACCTCACTCCAGACAGGTTCGATACAGAAAAATAGAAAAGATTATGTTGAAGCGCCTACAAATAAAGCATTATTATTTAACTTGTTATAAAACATTTTTCTACCACCGGCTTCGATTTTACCAACAATTTCGGTCATTTTCATTGAATTTTCGTCATTAATAAGGAGCAACAACATAACCTTTAACATAACCTGTCAGTTAATAACAAACTACAACTTCAATTCGTTACCAAAAATAAAGAAAAATTGTTTTTAATTTAATACGAATAATGTTATTTTGGGTAGATTTCTAACTTTTATGTATAAAAAAATTATTATTTAAAAATAAAGTTTAATAATTAAATAATTTAAAAAAAATGAGGTGTATAATTGGTTGCATATGTTTACGATAAATATACAACTCTAAATCGACTTCTTAAGATAAAAAGCATTAAAAAGATTTCATGATAAAATCTAATTATTTATAAACAATTTAATTAATATTAAAACATCATCCCTCACTTAATTTTCGCCCAATTTGTTATTTTAATTGATTTTGATGATACCATAACCTCACTCCAGAAAGGTTGGATACAGAAAAATAGAAAAAATTATGTTGAAGCGCCTACAAATAAAGCATTATTATTTAGCTTGTTATAAAACATTTTTCTTACCACCGGCTTCGATTTTATCAACAATTTCGGTCATTTTCATTGAATTTTCGTCATTAATAAGGAGCAACAACATAACCTACAATGTAACCTGTCAGTCAATAACATAATCTACAACTTCAATTCGTTACTAAAAATAAAGAAAAATTGTTTTTAATTTAATACGAATAATGTTATTTTGGGTACAGATTTTAAATCTTTTTGTATAAAAGAATTATTGTTTAAAAATAAAGTTTAATAATTAATTTTAAAAAAAATGACGTGTATGATTGGTTGCATACGTTAACTTCTTAAGATACAAAGTGTTAAAAACATTCCATGCTAAAATCTAATTATTAGAAAATAATTTATAAACAATTAAATTGATATTAAAACATCATTTTTTAACAACAAAATAATTTAAAGCTTTTTAAATCCGTTTTAAAATCATTTTGTGCTAGGAATTGAAACGAAAAACAAGTGGTAAGTTTATTTAATTTATTTATTTATTTAAAAAAAAAAAGTACCTCACAACGTAGACTAAAAAGTGTTTTCAACAATTAGCCTCAAGATATAGATAAAAACGTGTTCGGATTCTTTTAATTCCTCCTTTAAAAACGTCACAAAACTTTCCAATACATACTTTTAAATGGTAACTTTTTCTTAAAACCTTTAAAATATTGAATCCAAGGTTAAAATTTATCGATTTCCATCTTTAACATAAATTAATCATCCCATTTAATCGATAACTCAATAAAACTGACTCATCTCATTGAAAGGTATAAATAGAAATCAGATACAAACAATTCTATTCAATCAACTTTGAAACATCATCAACTTCACTCACAAAAATTAAAATGAACGATACCGAATTTGGTTTAAAATCTTTAAGAATTAAATCTGCCGTTGTTAAACGTTTGGAGAAAGAACACCAACACTATCAGGAAGAGGTCGAATCAATCAAAACGAAAATAGACGAGATGAAAACGCAGGGAAAGGATGCGTACGAAGTTCTAAAACAAGAAGAGGTACTCGAGGAGAGCTTAAAAATGGTACCTGATTGTCAACGGAGGCTTAACGAAGCTTTTGGGGAACTTAAAGATGTTATTGAGAAGGAGGAGAAACACTTGAAGGAAACTGAAGAGTTTAAAACTGGATTGAAGCTTTTGGAAGGTGCCAAAATGAAGATTTCTAATTTCGTTTAAGGTTGGAGAATTAAAAGAAATAAATTAAATCAGTAATTAAATTAGTTTAGGTTATTATGAAGTTGAGTTTGATGTATTAAAAGAAATAAATATTAAATTTGTTGATTATTAAGAATTAATTATTTTATTGTATTCGCACTGATTTTCGTTCTTTCGATTTCTTCTTGAACCTTAATAATCACGTACTCTTCACGTTTTATTCTAAAGTTGCCTCAATCATATGAGGCTGTCGCTGAGCGTGAATAAGATGGAAGGATGGTCACAGTTCATATTCCCAGGGAAAATACAAGCAAAATTAAGAGCATGTTAATAATAGCAAAAATGAAGATAGGTTAGAATTAAAAACTCCGACATCAAAGACTATCCGGGGTGAGGAAATTATGAGATTGAGAACAACAGAGGATCCAAATGGATGATCGGAGCATACTACAAAAAAATTTCTTTAACAAAAGTTGTAGCAAAATTTATTATTAACAATATTGTACTCTTTTACTTTTGTTCTCAGATGCATAAATATCGAGATAAATACAAAAGTATGAAAATGTGATGAATTTCGTTGTTTTACTAGTTCTTAATGGTAGCAGCCGAGATTCGGGGGATATTACAAAAAAACTCTTACAACAAAAGTTGTAGCAAATTTGATTCTTAAGAATATCGCTCTCTTTCACTTTTGCTCTCAGATGCATAGATATCGAGGTAAATACTAAAGTATGACGATTTGATGAATTTCGTTGATTTACTAGTTAATGGCAACACTCCGGATTCGGAGCATATTACAAAAAAACTGTTAGAACAAAAGTTGTAGCAAATTTGATTCTTAACAATATTGCTCTCTTTCACTTTTGCTCTCAGATGCATAGATATCATGGTAAATACCAAAGTATGAAAATTTGATGAATTTCGTTGTTGTATTAGTAGGTAATGGTAACACTCGAGATTCGGAGGATATTACACAAAAATTTTTAGAACAAAAGTTGTAGCAAATTTGATTCTTAACAATATTGCTCTCTTTCACTTTTGCTCTCAGATGCATAGATATCGAGATAAATACCAAAATATGAAAATTTTATGAATTTTGTTAGGTTACTAGCTGTTAATGGTAACACTCGGGATTCGGAAGATATTACAAAAAAACTTTTAGAATAAAAGTTGTAGCAATTTTGATTCTTAACAATATTGCTCTCTTTCACTTTTGCACTCAGATGCATACATATCGAGGTAAATACTAATGTATGAAAATTTGATAAATTTCGTTGTTTTACTAGCAGGTAATGGTAACACTCGAAATTGGGAGGATATTACAAAAAAATTTGTAGGACAAAAGTTGTAGCCAATTTGATTCTTAACAATATTGCTCTCTTTCACTTTTGTTCTCAGATGCATAGATATCGAGGTAAATACCAAAGAATGAAAATTTGATAAATTTCGTTGTTGTGCTATTTGCTGATGGAAACACTCGAGATTCGGAGGATATTACAAAAAAATTTTTAGAACAAAAATTGTAGCAAATTTGATTCTTAACAATATTGCTCTGTTTCACTTTTGCTCTCAGATGCATAGATATCGAGGTAAATACCAAAGTATGAAAATTTGATGAATTTCGTTGTTTTACTAGTAGGTAATGGTAACACTCGAGATTCGGAGGATATTACAAAAAAATTTTTAGAACAAAAGTTGTAGCAAATTTGATTCTTAACAATATTGTACTCTTTCACTTTTGCTCTCAGATGCATAGATATCGAGGTAAATACCAAAGTATGAAAATTTGATGAATTTCGTTGTTTTACTAGTAGGTAATGGTAACACTCGAGATTCGGAGGATATTACAAAAAAATTTTTAGAACAAAAGTTGTAGCAAATTTGATTCTTAGCAATATTGTACTCTTTCACATTTGCTCTCAGATGCAAAGATATCGAGGTAAATACCAAAGTATGAAAATTTGATGAATTTCGTTCTTGTACTAGTATGTAATGGTAACACTCGAGATTCGGAGGATATTACAAAAAAAAATTTTGAACAAAAGTTGTAGCAAATTTGATTCTTAACAATATTGCTCTCTTTCACTTTAGCTCTCAGATGCATAGATATCGAGGTAAATACCAAAGTATGAAAATTTGATGAATTTCGTTATTTTACTAGTAGGTAATGGTAACACTCTTGATTCGGAGGATATTACAAAAAAAAATTTAGAACAAAAGCTGTAGCAAATTTGAGTCTTAACAATATTGTACTCTTTCACTTTTGCTCTCAGATGCATAGATATCGAGGTAAATACTAAAGTATGAAAATTTGATGAATTTCGTTATTTTACTAGTAGGTAATGGTAACATTCGAGATTGGGAGGATATTACAAAAAAATTTTTAGAACAAAAGTTGTAGCAAATTTGATTCGTAGCAATATTGTACTCTTTCACATTTGCTCTCAGATGCAAAGATATCGAGGTAAATACCAAAGTATGAAAATTTTATGAATTTCGTTTTTTACTAGTAGGTAATGGTAACACTCGAGATTCGGAGGATATTACAACAAAATTTTTAGAACAGAAGGTGTAGCAAATTTGATTCTTAACAATATTGGTTTCTTTCACTTTAGCTCTCAGGTGCATAGATATCGAGGTAAATACCAATGTATGAAAATTTGATGAATTTCGTTGTTTTATTAATAGGTAATGGTAACACTCGAGATTCGGAGGATATTACAAAAAAAATGTTAGAACAATAGTTGTAGCAAATTTGATTCTTAATAATATTGCTCTCTTTCACTTTTGCTCTCAGATGCATAGATATCGAGGTAAATACCAAAGAATGAAAATTTGATAAATTTCGTTGTTGTGCTATTTGCTGATGGAAACACTTGAGATTCGGAGGATATTACAAAACAACTTTTAGAACAAAAATTATGGCAAATTTAATTCTCAACAATATTGCTCTTTTTCACTTTTGTTCTCAGATACATAGATATCGAGGTAAATACCAAAGTATGAAAATTTGATGAATTTCGTTGTGTTAATAGATGTTAGTGTTTAATCGCTGATTCGTTTTCTTTGTTTTTGTGATAGAATTAAACTCTTGAAATTTATTTTACTAAATTTTAATATAATTTTGACGATGTTACATTGCTTGAGGCATAAAGCCGAATATATCCGGTTTTACCAAATTCATCTAATAAATAATACGAGCCGAACGTCGTACTTCATCCACATGTTACGATTCGGAAAACAACAAAAAAATATAAAATCAAATTAGGAAAATCATTTAAACGGAATAACAATAAAAATTATAACAACAATTATAAATGCCTTAACAGATGTTAATGGTAAAACGGGATTCGGAGGATATTACAAAAAAACTTTTAGAACAAAAATTATGGAAAATTTGATTTTTAGCAATATTGCTTTCTTTCACTTTTCCTCTCAGATGAGTGTATATTGAGGTAAATACCAAAATGTGAAAATTTGATGAATGTCGTTGTTTTATTAGTTGTTAATGGTAACACTCGGGATTCGGAGCATATTACACAAAAATTTTTATAACAAAAGTTGTAGCAAATTTGATTCTTAACAATATTGTACTCTTTCACATTTGCTCTCAGATGCATAGATATCGAGGTAAATACCAAAGTATGAAAATTTGATGAATTTCGTTGTTTTACTAGTAGGTAATGGTAACACTCGAAATTTGGAAGATATTACAAAAAAATTTTTAGAACAAAAGTTGTAGCAAATTTGATTCTTAACAATATTTCTCTCTTTCACTTTTGCTCTCAGATGCATAGATATCGAGGTAAATACCAAAGTATGAAAATTTGATGAATTTCGTTGTTTTACTAGTAAGTAATGTAACACTCGAGATTCGGAGGATATTACAAAAAAATTTTTAGAACAAAAGTTGTAGCAAATTTGATTCTTATCTTAACAATATTGTACCCTTTCACTTTTGCTCTGAGATGCAAAGATATCGAGGTAAATACCAAAGTATGAAAATTTTANACAGTACTCATGCAGGCGGTCAAGATCCTCCTGTAGTCTAAGGCAGTCCAGATTAGACCCGATTCTTGTGAATATTTTATTATCGTCGGTATAGAGTAGAAACTTAGAAAATATAAAACACGAAGAAATATCATTTATGTACATTACGAATAGTAAGGGTCCAAGATGACTGCCCAGAGGCACACCGGATGTGATAGGTTTGTAGCCAGATATAAAGCTACCAATCCTCGTTTAAAGCAGAATGAATAAAGTTTACATAAGACAACAGATTAGACTCCACCGATCGCCCAGACAGAAAACCATGTTGTTCATTGATTATAGAGTGAGAAATAGACAGACTAAGATATTCGTGGACAATTTTTTCAAATACCTTGGGGATAGCTGAAAGGATAGAAATAGGACGGTAATTGGATACCAACTGTTTAACACCGGATTTAAATATTGGAATAACGAAAGCCGTTTTCCACATACTTGGGAAAACACCTTCAAGTAAGGACTTCGAAAAAATACGAAACAGTGGCATTGACAGCTCAGTAGCAAACTCTTTTAAGAATAAAGATGGAATACCATCCGGGCCAGGACTAAACGACTGGTCAAGATGCAACAGAACGTTATGAATTGCATTAGCGGAAAACCACGGCAAAACCCCAGAGCCATGGGCAATCACTGAGCTGTCGATTGTGCCATCTACAAAAACAGACGAGAAGTAATCCGAGAAAGCACAAGAGATCGCAGAACATGAGTCAACTATGGTTCCATCAAAGGAAGTCATTGAGGCTGGCATGCCAGATGAGGAACCTCTTTTGCCATTAACAAACGACCATATCTTCTTTGGTTTCCCCAACACATCTGCCTGAATGGAACTCAGATAAGCTCTGTAATCAGCAGCTATCAATTTTTTAGATCTACGACGCAAAATTAAACTTCCACTTTTTGTGAAATTTTAGCTTTTCCTTAATAATAGGAATAGTAGAACGGTTATACCAACAAGGGAATCGTTGTTTAGGTAAAATTCGTTGCGGAACATATCTATTAATAGCAAAGTTAACATGCGCGTAAAAGACCTCAACCATGGCTTCCACGTCCATCCCGGCAAAGACAGATCCCCAATCAATACCGTTTAAATAGTTCTTAATACCCAAGGAATCAGCTTTCTTGTAAAGAAAACTAATTTTCGGGCCTTCAGTCAAGTAAGTTGTCGTGATTGATATAACAAATACAAAAGGCGGGTGGTGTCTGTCCGGATCCACAAGTGGATCATTGCAGGGGTGAACGCTCTCAATACGACCGTTCGTGCATAATACAAGATCCAAAATTTTATTATTATCGTTTAAAACATTATTGAATTGACTAAAATTACAATAAGAGGAAGTGTTAAGGAAGTTAACGGCGCGACGCTCGAAGGTTCCCGTAGGCACTAATAAAACATCAGAATCAGATGAAGTCCATGTGATGGATGGTTGATTAAAGTCACCCACGATAATGATCATGATATCCGGATATTTATCGCGCACAGTAGATAGATTGGATAAGAAGAGATCAAGTGGCTCCTCGGCGTTAGGAGGGAGATAAACACAGCACAAAAGAAAATTATACTGACCGCAACACACATTCAACCACAAGTCGTCGGCACCGCAGTGGAGACACGGCATAGGAACGACGTGAAGACCTCTCTTGGCGGCGACAAGGACTCCTCCACCATCTCGCTTGGTAGACGCTGTTGATTCTCTGTCACGACGATATACAATATATGACGGGTTGAGAAGTTCCCCGTCGGACACCGTAGAGTTAAGAAAGGTCTCGGTAAGACAAATAAAATCCGTCGATAGCGCATAAGAATTAACTGAGGTAGTATTCGTTTTGGAACGTAGTCCTCGGACATTTTGGTAGTAGAAGCTAAGGCCCATGAATAGTGAAGTGATACTCCCAAAGAAAACCAATGCGATAAAGAGCCCCGTCTTACAATTTATTCAAGTCTGACAGGGATTTGACTACCAAAGCCTTAGCTCTGTCATTTTTGTTTGTATTTTGATTAGAAGGCCATGTAGGGTTGCCACCTGGCCGGATTTCCACCGGCTTAGCCGGTTTTCTGTTACTCAGGCCGGGTGCCGGTCAACATGTTAAAAAGGCCGGTTCTTATCATATTAACAGATACGTTCGATATCACAGATGGGAAAACTTAAAAATGCTCAAATAACAGGCCATCTATTGTTGGGTTACCCACTTAGCGGTATTAATTTTAATTTCAATACTTTACTACAAGATGGCAGCTTGTTTTGGTACGTAAAAATTGTGTCCTATTTTTCTGGGGAATCCCAGTGGGGATTTACTTACACAGTTTGATGTACGCGTTTTGTGTTAGCTTAACAATTAGTTAATCTATTATATTTGCGGTTGCGTGCGATACGTGATAGTACCTCTGGTATAAAAAGTTTTTGAAGTCCGTAAAAATGAGTGATGGTAGTAAAGATAAAGACGACATTCCAAACACACCACCTAAAAAGAAAATTAGGTTACGAAACTGCCAATTCAATAAAGATTGGCTCAACGACCCCAACTTCAAAAAGTGGTTGGCAAGTGATAACAATAGTAACATGGCGAAATGTACCCTGTGTAAAATAACGTTTAGCGTAAAGTATGACGGAATTAAAGCCGTAAAGTCCCATGGTGCTACAACAAAACATTTAAATTTAGAAAAAAGCAGTATGATGGGCAGTATTACAAAATTTTTTGCCTCTAAAGAATTAAAAGATTCGGATTCCGTAGCTATAGCCGAATTATCGAAAACTTATCATACTGTTAAACATGGCCTTAGTTATCTATCATCTGATTGTGGTAAATAAAATTTAATTTGCTGAAATAATGCTGAAATGCTGAAATAATGTCTTTTTTTGTGTGTAATGTATATTTTATTACTGTTATTTCACTTTAGGTAACAAACTTGACGGACATATTTACCGAGATTCAGCAATAGCTACTAAAATACATTTAGGGCGAACAAAACTGGAAGCAATTACGCGCAATGTTTTAGCGCCTTATTCGTTGGAAGTTATAATTCGGAAGTTAAAAGAAGAAAATCTTCCATTTTCAATAGCTACGGACGCTTCCAACAAAGGCAGTAGGAAATTTTTTCCTTTGGTGATACGTTTTTTTGACCCCAACGAAGGCGTTCGAGACTGCTTACTTGATTTTTATGAAGAAGCAGACGAAACTTCTGAATCACTAAAAAATACAATATTAAATGCACTGCAAAAACTGCAACTTGATATTGCTAATGTAACCGCATTTGGAGCAGATAATGCGTCCGTGAATTACGGAAAACATTGTTCAGTATACCAAAAACTTACAGAAATTAAACCAAACATTCTCAAAGCTAATTGTAACTGTCACATAGTTCACAATGCAGCGAAACATTGTCTTAAATTATTGAGTTTCGATGTGGAATGTTTGGTAATAAAGGTGTTTAATACTTTTAGTTGTAGCGCAAAAAATGTGGAAAATCTCAAAGAGTGCTCCCAATTTGTTCAAGAAGAATACCATCAAGTGTTGAGACATATACCAGTGCGATGGTTAAGCCTTTATGCGGCTGTCGACCATTTATTACTAAATTGGAACGCTATAAAAACTTATTTTTTGCAACAAGGAAATGAAAATTGTGACCGTGTTATATGGAAATTTATAGGAGATCAAGAAGATCAACTCTCAGAACACCCAACTTTTGCTGAATGTTATATTTATTTTGTTCATCATATTCTGTTCACATTTCAATCGACAATTAAAATGCTGGAAACATCTAATTTAGTTATTACGGATTTATACGATATTATGTCCGATTTAAGAAGCAAGTTAAAAAGGCGCAGGGAAGATTTATTTTTTGGATCAAAACCAACCAAGCACTAGCGAAGCTTTCAGAAAACCTTCGATTACAATTTCAAACTGAAGCCGTTCAGGTCTACAATAGAGCACAAGAATATTTAGAAAAATGGTTCGATTTTGAAAACAATGTCTTTTTATTGTTTAGATCATTCAATTTGAGAGGGCACTTTCCAGAATTAAATGAAATAATTTTAATTGCATCGCGTATTGGTATTGAATTTCAAGACACCGATGGTGATAATCTTTATGAAGAACTATGTTTCCTACAAAAAGTAGCTCCATCTTTTATGGATGAAGATATATCTGTCGCCGACAAGTGGTGTAAATTTTTCAAGAAAGTAGAATCGCCAATTTTAAGAAGAATTATTTGTGTCATTTTATCTATACCCTGTAGCAATGCTTATGTAGAAAGAGTATTCAGTATGATGAACCAACTGTGGAATGATGACAGAAATAGATTATCTGTTGAAATGGTAAAATCAGAACTGTGCATTCGTTCGAACATTCAGCTTTTTTGTTCGGAATTTTATTCATTAATAAGGGACAAAAAAGACCTTATTAAAGCAACAAAATCAAATTCGAAATACCATTTTAAATTTTAAATACATATATGTTTTATTGCATTTATTGGCATAAAATAAATATTATCTAGAAATATTAACATCCCATTGTAATTATTTTTACAACGTAGTTTTTCTTTTAAGTTGCGTAATTTTTTAATTTTGGTGGTGATAATTTGCATTTAAATTTAAAAAACAAAAATTCTGAGGCATGCAAAACGTTAAAGGCCGGTTTTCCGTTGTCAAAAAGGTGGCAACCCTAAGGCCATGACATTCAATGATTTATACCCGTCATCAAATTTTGCGGCGAAACAGTGCAGTATTCCTGGTTATCACTTTTTATTTCAAAATCGAGAGTCCGGGAAAGGGGGTGGTGTTGGAATTTACCTTAGATCAAACATCAAATTTAAAAAGATGGTATTGGATACTTTCGAAATGTGTGAACTGCCTATGGGTTTGAAGTGATATATAGGCCCCCAAACACAAATTTAACGCAATTTTTTACTTCGTTTGAAGATACTTTGGCATTTATTATTCCAGAATGCAGGGATATTTTTTGTGGGGGGGGGGACATGAACTTGGACTTGATGAAGCCTGATAGTTCTTATGGAAGAAAATTTTCTACTTTATTAGAATCATATGGCCTTCGACAGATAGTTACCGAACCTACGCGAATTACTTCAACATCACAAACACTTATTGATATTGCTATATGCTCGGGAAGTTTATTTTCTTTTATTGGTGTACGGTCGATGCATGGAATAACAGACCATGAGCTGGTCGAATGCTCATTACAAATTATAAGTTCAAAAATCATGCCGGAAATAAAAACTTACCGCAATCTAAAAAAAATTAATATGCAAGCGTTTGCCTCTGACCTTGAAAATTTGCCAGTTGCTCTAAAAAGCCTGCACCCTGGTTGTTTCCCGATCTCAAGGAGAAAGTACAAAGAAAGCGAGCGAAGAACTCCTTGTTTTTTCCTTTTAATTTTCTTTTCTATCTGTACGACAACCTCTGTTATGTCAGTGCACCTTAATATTAGGGAGAGTTGGTCTTTATGGCTTATATCAGGAGTACAGTCAGCTATGATTGCAAAATGCTTCGAATTCTTTAGGTGGCATAATATTGTGGATTTAACTTGCGATGCCATTAAATCTGTCAATTAATTTTGTATATTTTTGCCACAATAATGGTCAGCCAACTCACCTTTCATTACTAATTTGACATACTCCTTCATGACAGGGTCAAACCTTGCCAAGAATTGTATGAACTCTAGAAATTTCCCTTTATTTTAGGTAAATAATTTATCAGAAGATCCTCTGATAGCCAGATTATTTTCAATTAATATAATCTGTATTAGTCGTTGAAGCACATTTTTCAAGCAAAACTTTTCCTTTGCAATGCTACCCAATGCCTGTACTATTAAGCTATGTTGCATTTTATGTGGGACAGTGCAGGTGCATAATAGTTTCGTAACTATGGTTACTGTATTCATATATTACGAGTTATATGACATTCCCTGTATAGTCTTTAAATAAAATGTTTTCATTGAATGGAAATGTGCTGTATAGAAAAGCAATAGTGATATTGATGTAATTCCTGTTCTAGCATCTTCCGCCGATCCGATCTGTTCAAGATATCCTTCTCCAATTTACGATGCCACGGGTTTTGGTATCGTCCTCCACCTCGTCCAAGTATCTTGTCTTGAGTCCCTCCTTTTTGAGTTCCATTATAATCATCAGTTATGATTTTTTTAAGGAGTTGATTTTCAACATTCTTTGGCTTCCCACACCCGCTCCTCCAACATATTCTTGTCATTCTTCGTCACACCGTCCTACACTATGTTTGTTGTCTTTTGAGTTAAGACTCATATCTTACATCCGTTTCGTTACCTAACGATAAGGAGTATAACAAAGTAATTATTTGTAATAAAAGAAAACCAATATAAACAAGCGCTTTATTTGATAATAACCAAAACAGACATTGTGTTTATGTTAATGTAACCTCGTATAATACATTTTTCTGTTAATTTTAATGAGTATCAACAAGTGTTAGTGCGTAAAGTACAGAACATTTAAAAGTTTAATTGCTCACGATGGTTGTTGCAGATTAATTTTAATTTTTCGCTTGTTCCCACCAATGTATTGCTGTACGTTTTTAAATTTATTTAGATTTTTTTTTGTTAATCGAATGTACAANAATCGGATCAAGTTACAGAAATAAAATATGGGGGGTGCCATTTAAAAAAATTAAGTTATGGTACTTCCAAATTTTGAAAAGTTAACGTGCCATAGTAAAGTGACCAAACGTTCTAGGCAGCAGTTCTCGGCACCAAAACATACTCCATCATGTTGCTTAAGCATGTTCTCAATCGTAAATTGATATCCCGAAAATCGAGTGTTCTCTGATTTTTTGAACTCTTGTCTGCTGGAGCAGATTTTTCTGGAAAAAATCGAATAACTCGAGAACGGTCGAATCAAATTGCAAAAAGTAAAGTTATATATAAACCTTGAAAACAGACAAATCCAAATATGTAAAAATATACAGGGTGTTCCATTTAAAAAAATTAAGTTGGTGGCGACTTCCGGTATAACCGGACGTGCAAAAAATCTGAAAATATTTTAGACGAAGAGATCGTAATTGATAATACTTAAGTTTGAATTCTCAAATTTTTATTTTCGCCAGAACCCCAGAAACGTCTAATGACCGGTCTCGCTGAGACACCCTGTATATGACTTGTCTGATGTTAATGTGAAGGTTAATTATATCCCTGTTTGACAGGTACGCACCTAACATTACTATCAGTTGCTCTAAAAAGCCTGCACCCTGGTTGTTTCCAGATCTCAAGGAGATGATGAAGATCCGGGATCGAGCTCTTTATAAGTACAAGTCCACTAAATCTGCAAATGATCTCGATAGATATAAATGTTTGAAGACAGATACAGCCCGCGAAATCAGAGCAGCAAAGCGAGCTTATGTTGACCACACTTTAGCTAGTGGTGGCCCGCATAGACTTTGGAATGCATTAAAAAAATTAGATGCTTTGAATTCTAACACTTTGGCACTGCCGAACTGTTTGAATGATGTTGAAGCAATAAATGATCACTTCATTCAGACGTCGGTGGGGATTACTGTGGTAAATCAAGATCTACTAAGTCATTATCTACTCAATAAAAAATGTAATGACGATGTGGAGTTTGAATTTACGCCAGTTGAGGAGTAGGTTGTGGTGAAATATTTACTCGAGATTAAGTCGATGGCAGTGGGCTCGGATGGTATATCTATACATATGTTGCGACTGTGTTCCCCACATATAGTCAATTTTTGCTCGAAGAACTCAGTATTTCCATCGTGTTGGACAACGGCACTAGTGACACCATTGCCAAAGAAGACATTGCCCAAGACATATAATGAATTGAGACCAATTAGTATTTTGCCGGCAATATCAAAGGTAATTGAAAAAATAATGCATTTTCAAATAAGTTTATTCTTGAACAAGTATGGTATCCTGCCACATACACAATCTGGCTTCCGAAAGCATTACAGTTGCGAGACGACGCTGATGCATATTGTGGATGATTGTTTAAGAGCATGTGATAAAAACTATCTGAGTAACTTTGGATTATTCCAAGGCATTTGATAGAGTAAATCATAAAATTTTAGTATCGTTATTACACTATATAGGTTTCAGTTCTCACTCTCAAGCGTTGATATCGAGTTACTTGAGTGATAGGTGTCAAATTGAACAATGTATTGTCCACACCAAAACAACTTCAAGCCGGAGTTCCACAAGGTTCAATACTGGGGCCTCTTTTATATTGTATATATACCTGTGATTAGAACATTATCAAACTCTGAGGTGCACTTCTACGCAGATGACTCGCAAATTTATTTATCGGTTCCTCCTGAAAATATAACCTCGGCTAGGTTAACGCTTGAGAGTGATATACGTAGTTTGATTGACATATCCACAGAACATTGCCTGAGTATAAACCCAGACAAGTCTGTGGTGATGCCCTTTGGGAGACAAAAAAACACGTATGAAGTATGGTAGCTCTTTCTTCGTAAATATTAACAAGAAATCAATAAAGGTCAGTGACACGTCTCGCAACTTGGGTTTAATGCTTGATAGCGATTTAAGATTCCGTGAACATATTACTAGTAACGTTGGGAAATCGTTTGCTGCTCTGAAAATGATATATGCTAGTAGATATTTATTGACGACATCAAATAAGATAAGATTATGCGACAGTTTAATACTTAGTAATTTTGATTATGGTAGTACTGTATATGGTCCTTGTCTTGATACTGATACGGCATGTCGAATACAGCGTGTACAAAATTCCTGTTTACGAATGATTTATAAACTTAGACGACGAGAACATGTTTCTCATATGTTAC